CGAATAACCGCTACACCACGTCGGCTCCCACTTTATTCTGAGTGCTGATCATTGTTTGCACGGCCTCAAGGATTCACCACTGTTTATTTTCTCTGAAATGTGTGTAATATCTCGCCAAAGAAGATGATAATGAGTTTCAGGTGCACATTTATAACTATGCAGAAGGTAACCGTTCTACTGTGCCGGCACTTCCACCAGGAATATAAAATGTATGATTTATATTGTGATATTCGTGGCCGAGAGAAACAAAAAAAAAAAAAACACACAAAAAACCACTGGCGCTTTGTCTGGATAGAGCATCATTTATTATGAAAACATCCATCTGAAGAAAAAAAAATTAACTTGAAATTAACATGTTTACTGTAAAATCTAAAATTGCATTCTACTTATGTATAATTGTTTGAAAAGATCAAAGGAATTGGCTGATTAACAAAATTATGAGCATGCATGGACTAAAAAATAGCAATTTTAGGGATATTGATATTCGAAGGTTGTATGCACACACAGAAAAAAAACGAAAGAGTGCGATCTGACAAGCAGTTTTCGATAAAATAGATTGCAAACGTGTTCAGGAATTTCTGAACGGACTATAGCTCATAGTCCTTCCTACAAGACTTATATGAGATGATAAAAAGATTCGAGCTGACGTTTTAGAGTGTTTGAAGCGGACGGCCAAATCTTTCAAGTGTGTCATTACTGGCCACGTCGGACCTCAAGACAATCCAGGCCATATTTTATCTCTTCTGCCTTCTGCTGTTGTCGATTTTCCCTGTCCTTATCAGGTGATGGCGATGAAACCCCTAGTGGTGGTCACAGTTTGATAGCCTCTTAACGATATCTTGCCTTGGACTGGGTGGGGCTGTTGTAAAACACGCCATAAAGCGCCAACAATGTTACACCTCGCTCCAGACAATAAACTGTTGTCTTTTTTGTAAAAGTTCACAGCTTTCCAGAATATTATAAATGAAACTTTTGTCTTTATGAAGAGGCTATGATTAAGTTCATTTAACTAACAATGAAGCATTTGCTTTATAGAGACCTAGATCATCACTGATGACTTCGCTGATGACATTTGTCTTTCGTTCCATTCGCGGAATCAGATGCATGATAAATTAAATATACTTGATGCAAGATCAATAGCTAGGTCTCAAAATCCATGAGGGAAAGACAGAGATAATGAGATTAAATCAGGAAAATGGAAATTTGGTTACTCTTAATGGTATCCACTTCAAGACGTGGAGTCGTACACCAATTTAGGCAGTAATGTAGATAAAGACAGGGGAACTGTACTTGAAGCAAAGTAATTTGTAATGGAAGAAAGAGAAGAGATAACTATAAAGGATAATATGGAAATCTACTCCTTAAAATCTCCTCGATTCCGAACCAACAAGGGCTATAACAATGTGACGTTGCGAGTGCACGCAGAACTCAAGTCCTGGTACAAAACTCAACCCAGAAGTGGTTTTACAACCAGTGGACGCGAAAAAGAAGAGGAAGGAAGAAAATGAGAATATGAAGATGAAGTAGTCAGAAGTAGTCAGTCATGATAAGTTGGCCATAAACACGCAAAATCACTATATAAAATATTTCGCCAGCCCACACGTTACCCGGCTACCCGCCATACTGAATACCACTACACTACCGCTGCACTAATAACAAGCATTCCACATGGAAAAACAGCTCACAGTGCTGCACCAAACACTTAACTGGGTAGCTTAGGCAGCGAAACCGTTGACTTCGTCATTATGTGGAAACTTCATCAGCAAAGAGCTATGAGGAGTAAAAATACTAAAGCTAATAATTATGCCATGCCTACCCTCTACATTTGGCCTAAGTCAACTCTCACTGTTTCCGGCTGTCAAAGGGCCTAGGTAAATCTGGCAATCAAATGTTTAAATACCAATGGCGAGCAATAATAAAACTGACACCATGAACCAGCCTAAAATTCATTTATTGTCCTGTGGTGTAACACAGGGCTTACAGTCTATTTCTCTATTCCGTTCTGTTCTGTACAATCAGTACTACATCTTGGGGGAAATCCAGTCAAGCCCCTTTGGCCTGTCTCAACTACGTTCTCCTTACGGTGTCTCTTGCATGTCATGGTTTCCCTAATCCCTTATTTCCCATTTCAGTGCCCTTTGTGGTGATTTTATGTTCTTCTTTTCTCAAAACATAGCACCTTCTTAGCTATATTATAACTGTTTATATACTAGTGAATGTCCAAAATCTCTTCACTGCTCGTGACTTCATCATAGTTTATATTGGCTAACATGAGGGACTCTGTGATGATCTAGAAAGTACTCGTTGCTGTCGTGACATTAAACGTATCAATCTTTTGCTTCTTCTTCTTCTTCTTCACTTCCTCTTTTACCGCTGTGGGTGTCGAGGGAGATATAAGGTTCTGTTTCTAGCTCTTCTGGCTGCCTCGACCATAGGCACATCGTGCTGTTGTAGAGTTTCTCTGATGTTATCCTTCCATCTTGTTCTTGGTCTACCCCGTGCTCTACGTCCTTCTTCTCTTTCCAAGTATGCTTTGTATGGTATGGTGTCACAAGGCATTCTCTCTAAGTGGGCAAACCATTTCACTTGCTGTCTTTGTATGTAATCCAGAATTAGTTCTGTGCCGACTTGTTCTCTTATGATCTCATTCCTGATCTTATCTCTTATGGTCACTCCAACGAATCACTCGCCGGCTATAAATATATGGGGCTCGCATCAAATTCAAAATACGTCTCCATCCCCCTCCCCCCCCCCCAACCACTTTTTTTTACCCTGTAGGTACCGGGGTCCACTTTGAAAGGAAAATAAACACGCATATTGCCTCCCTTGACAAGCAAGTCGTAAAAGACGACGAATCTGCGATGTTTCCATTGAAGCCGTAGTAACACTTATGAGTCTGGATTAGAGAGGCTGAGAGAGAAATCGCAGAGAAAGTGTATATATTTGTGTTTATACACACACACACACACGCACACACACACACACGTACACACATATAAGTATGTGTGTGTGAGTTTGTGTTGTGTCACTGGCATGTAACGACTCTAATCGCCGCTGACACGTTCCACTACACACACACACACAAATTATTATATTTATCATGGCTGTTTACTAGATATTGAACCTACTTCGTTCAGTTTCGTCTCCAACATGTCGAAATGAACGCTCGCTGCATGTTACGTCACTCAGACAACACTTTGACATGCAAAAGCTACGAGTTGCTAGTACTAAAATGCTTGCTGCACACATATATTCTCAACGCCTGAGCGACGAGGAGGAAAATATCACATAATACCACCTACAGTATAATGGTTACCTTTTAACGCTTACAAATGCGAACTGATCACAGCTCGCCACTGATATGTCTATGTTCGTGTGTGACGCGGTAAAAAGAACAGACAGACAGACAGACAGACAGACCAGACCAGACAGACAGACATATTAACTTTGCGATACTTTTAAAACTGTGACAGAAAAAAAACTGCTTTACAAATTCCCCATGTGGATAACATTTCCGAGTTCTGTGTTGATTTCACAGCCACATATTCTGTGTTCGTTGATAAACAGTTTGACAAAAACGTTTGCTTGTGTGCAACACAGTTTCCTGCAGACTGTATACACATATAGTTTAGTTAACTTAAAGAAGGCTGTGGTGTGCAGCTTTCTTTCGTCCTGCTTTGTAGTTTATTTTGACTGCGTTTATTCATTCATTCCTCTGTATTCACCTCAGTTTATGGAGAAAACAAATATACCCCCCCCCCTTTTTTTTCCCCCCACAATAGTTATAGGGCGAAAAGAAAAAAAAGTGGGGGGGGGGGGGGTGGTTATTTGCCAAACGAGGTCAACTGAAACCGAGGCTGAATGGGAGCTGTCCTAGAGTTTGACTCGCAGCCGTCAGTATTGTTTGGTTTATCGCCTGTCCCGAGCACGGAAGCCAGCCTACTTTGTGTCTGCGACGGATGGGTGCGACAACGTCCCTTTTGGGCCTTACCGCCAGAGTGTACTGGTAGGACCTGCTGTATGCGAGAAACCTGTCGTAGAAAAATCCTCTCACGTTCTGTATAGTACTGGAGCTGTTTTTAAATGCATTGTGTCCGGTAAGCCAGGAAGCCCAGGTGTTTTTAACTCTTTCTGTTTGATTGAAGTTGCTGTCTGCCAAATCATCTTTTACCCAGCATTCTCCTTGCCTGTTTTTCAGTACTAAATATTACTTCTGATAAGTCTGGTTGTTTTGTAGTTGTTTTTCTGTTAATGATGTACTTGCGTCTTTTTTCCCTTTTCTTTATTTCTTTCTTGCGCAGAATGTCCGAATAACCGGGGATAAGATACTGGCCAGATAAATGCCCCTGATGGTGTCCAGATGTAATCAATACTTCTACTGAACAAAACCAGCCAACCAGCCAAGAATGTCCAACCAGGCATTGAGGTTTAAAGTCAAACAATTAAATAGAATGGTGCTATACATTGGACGAGATTATCCAAAAGGGGCAGAGTACTTTCGATCTCGTCTTCACCAGTCTTACATGAAAAACATAGACATAACTGATTAAAAGGAAATTGAGATGCTCTTCGCCAAAGGGCAGTACATCGTCATGGAATTAGAGGTTCTGTACATGCTCAGAATGTACATAACTCCCAAGAAGATATACTATGGGAACCTCTAGTCTGTTTTACCTCATCCCATGTGCAGATCATCATCATCATCATCATTATAAACCACTTCTACCGTTAAGAGCCGTGGGGAGGAATAATTGGCGATCCAGTTCACGTTGGCTGCCACTGGCTACTGTCATACCGTGAAGACGTAGAATGTCTTTAATGTTGTTGATCCATGTTTTCCGCGGCCGTCCTCTTGCTCTTGTAGCTGATCTTCTGAGATGTAGTGCTTGTGATGGTATTTGATCTTGCTACATTCTAACGAGATGGCCACACTAATGCTACAATTTCCGGCTCTTTCCTAGTTGTTGTCTCCCCTTTTTTCTCTGCTTCTCTTCATCCACCAATAAAGATTTCGCAAAGTGGTCAAGCCGTTTGGCTCGCGCTCTGAAGAACATGGGTTCACTACACAGAGGCGTCCTTTAGTTCACGAGTGCAATTTTACGGAGATCCATGTGGATCGTCACCGGAGCTACATAGTTCGTGCCTTGTGCGACGCTCTCGGTCGCTAGCCGCTCTGCGGAGAGGAACCGAGTCATATGGGGATAAACGCCGGTGCAATGAAGTTGAACCTCTCGACTTTTACCTAGACTTTAACCACGGCCAGCTGCAGATATAAGGCCTTAAAGCTAAACGGGAATTACCGTATTTGTAAGGCTGGCGTTGCCGGTCGGTGGCACCAATTGTTATCGAGCAGACTGATCCACACATTGAACTACCGTTTAATTAATTTGTAACATGCGTTATTGAATAAATTATCATGTTAAAAATAAATATTTTTCAATAGCCCATTTATTTATCTTCAAAAAATAATTTATTCTATGAAAAATGTTACAAATCAATTAAACTGTAGTTCACTTTGTATAAAAATCTGGCCTTATATCTGAATCTGGCCGTGCTTTAACTTACTTTTGCCAAGTCGTCCTATCTCGTCTAGCTCACCCAATGTCAACTCTTTTCCTCTACCTGATTTGCCCCTATATCGCTCGGCCTCGGACCCCAGTCTCCTGTCGAGAGCATCTCACAAAGCACGAACACCTTATCTCCGCTGATGATTTTCAGTTATCTCTGTAAAAATTGCAGCCGTGAAATAAATCCACAACCGTTAGAGCGCGACAAATTGCTTGACTACATTTGTCAAAAAGATCCACTTAGATAGAGAAACAGGTGTGACGAGGAGGGGGGGAGGGGGGTAACACCTGGAAGAGAAACAGTTTACGTAACACCGGGAACAGAAACAGTTTAAGTAACACCGGGAACATAAATAGTTTAAGGAACACCGGGAACAGATAGAGTTCAAGTAGTAACAAATGAAACAGAAACAGTTTCAGTAACAACTGGAACAGAAACAGTTTAAGCAACAACTACAGACTGTGACAGGCAGGATTCACTCTTTGTCCGAGACGTGAGACGTACACGTCAACTGGAGAATGAATGAGCCAAGACATGCCGCAGGGACGTTGGCTGTCTGAACGTCACCAAAGGAACAGCAAACAATGTATCATTTGTCACGGGTTACCAGGCTACAATTAGGCTATCTTATTTCAGAGAGTAAGGCTGACTGTTGCCCAAGGCTTGCGTTGTCGGGGGGTAGAGAACCTGTTGAATGAACCAAGCATGTCTGTACACATGTCGGGTGCAGGGCTGCCAATGAGATTTTTTGAAAAACCCAGCTTAGCTGGGACAAAGAAAAAAAAAAGAACCCCCCCCCCCCCCCTCCCCGATTGTTAAAATGTACAACATTTATATTTACGAAACTTAACATTTACCACTTTTATATAAGGATATATTTAAAAAAAAAAAAAAAAGCAGGTTTCCCCCAGGCGTCAAATAAAGACCCAGATCTGGGGGGAAAACCCAGCATTGGCAGCCCTCGTCGTGTGTGCTGAAATTAGATGTGTAACCGCATGTGTGGGAAAATGTTACATTTCATTGACTTGTGGTTTCCACGAGGAGGGGGGGGGGGGGAGAGGACAAATAAAGCCACTGCTTGAGTAAGGAGCATGTTTGTTATAAGTAAAGATAAAGGTTTTATCCCACATGACCCAGTCTCTCTCCGCAGAACAGCTAGCTGCCTATCGATAGTGTCGCACAGATCGCGACCTCCGTAGCTCCGGGGACGGGGTCCAGGGATCTTCGTGAAAAATCAACTTGTGAACTGAACGGTGCCGCCGTGAAACGAATCCACGACCTTCAGAGTGCGAGGCGAACGGCTTGACCACTCTGCCACGAAGACCACACCCCCCCCCCTTCCACCCCGCACCTCCGTTTGTAAAGTAACGTTAAAAAAAAAAAAAAAGTTAAGATCCTTTTTCACGCCTTTAGGCGCATCGGGCATATGGGAAGAGCGCCCATATTTTTTTCAGACCATCGGAACTTGGTGGGTAATGTGGTCAGCATTACCCCGGCCGTTACAAGTAAAGTACTTGAAATTTTTTACGCTTTCAGACGTACTAGGCTGTTGCGGTAGACCTATGTTATATAGACCAAGTGGCGCTCACTTGGTGATGTAATCAACATCACGCCGGCCGCCTTTACTTCCCATCACTTTAATTGGTACTCGTTTAAGGTTGGGTCCACCTGGGAGCTAAACTCATTTCTGAAAAGCGTCCGGCTCGTCGGGATATGAATCCATGGCTTTCGTACCTGTCGGAGACAGTCTAGGAGACAGACTACACCACGGTGGCTCCCTCTTGTGTGTTGTAAGAAGTGACTAATTTATTGTTTGCTGGAATAGGATTTGCAGATACTGCATCCTAGCCGTAAACCACAACATAACTTGCAAATGCCTTCGTAAGGGTGTGGGCTGAAGAAGAAACAAACTTGACAAACGTTTTCTGTCTAACATCGTGTAGTTTTATTTTAGCACGCCTAGCTGGGGCTACACAGACCTCAATGCGAAAGGAGAAGAGGTAGAAAACTGGATAATCAGCAACAATCTAGTTCTGATAAATCATCGTGACGATCCAGACACATTCTACTCTCGAGCTTGGAGGAAAACTAGCACACCAGACTTGGCTATAGCAACTGAAGATGTGGAGAAAGTTACCAGCCGGGATGTGTGTCAGCAGCTGGGTGGCAGTGATCACAGGACCCGTAATCCTGTCTATTAACAAAAGTAGAGAGGTTACTTAGGAAATGAACCCTCCCAGCTGGGACTACAAGAAGGCTAACTGGCGTCTTTTCTCTTCCCAGTTGGACGACATGTTGAAAAGAGTCTTCCTCAGAAGACTGGAAATAAATGCCAAACTAAAGATCCCCAACACAACTATTCTAAATGCAGCCAAGGGTAACATACCACGAGGCAGCAGGAAAAACTTTAAACCTTACTGGTCGCCTGAACTGGACACTCTGTATTCCAAACTGAGTACCAGGAGAGAAAATATGGAGAAGGATCCGACAGATAAAAATATAATACTTCATAACAGAGCAAAAGCAGCCTTCATCAAAGAGATACATAATCAGATGAGGAAAAGCTGGCACAAAAAGACAGCGTCAGTTAACCTCGAGAAGGACACTTCACGTCTATGGAATCTCACAAAAAGCCTGAATGGAGACAAGACAGAAAAAGCCAGAGTTGTACTCCTAACAGACGATGGAGCTGTTACTGGCAAGGCAGCAGCAGATGTGCTAACTGAAACACACCAGAAGGAAATTGAGGTTCATATTCACATGCAAAGAATAAAAGAAGTACGAAACCAGACCAAGACTCTTCTAGCAGACTCTAGCACAAAAACAACCGAGGCCTGCATGTCAGAAAAGTTTACCATGCAAGAGCTGGAAGTTGGAATTGGAGAGTTGAAAATTAAGAAAGCGCCAGGGGCTGACGGCATTACAAACTAATTTCTCTCTCATCTTGGACCTGCTGCCAAGAAGTTTCTTCTCTGCATTTACAACCAGAGCTGGCAAAAAGGGGTAGTACCGTCAGCCTGGAAGGAAACCCTCATCCAGCCTATCCTTAAAAAGGGTGGAGACAGAAGAGACCCAAAAAGCTACAGACCCATCAGCCTTCTTAGTTGTGTAGGAAAATTGATGGAGAAATTAGTAAATAAAAGACTAATATGGTTCTTGGAGACAAACTCGTTAATCACCACCACACAGACAGGATACAGACAGCACAAAAACACTGAGGACCAGTTGACATATCTGGCACAGGAAATAGAGAATGCCTTCCAGGAAAAAAAGAAAGTTCTTGCTCTCTTTTTTGACCTCTCTCGTGCTTTCGATACAGTTTGGAAAGAGGGCCTACAATTAAAACTGCTACAGGCAGGAGTTATGCATAACATGTACAAGTGGATCAAAGACTTTCTTTTCCAACACAGAGCCAGATTCAGAATTGATGGACACGTCGGCATACTGGCAAAACTAAGAGAAGGAGTTCCCCAGGGCAGTGCGATAGCACCAACTCTGTTCCTGGTTTACATAAATGATATCACAGCAACCTGCCACCAGCACGTTTATAATACCCTACATGCTGATGACTTTGCAGTTTGGACAGCCTCCGAATACACTACCACAGCCTCATATCTGTTACAGAAAACTGTGGAAAATGTAGAAGCCTAAACGGAAAAGTGGGGTCTAAAGCTAAATAATTCAAAAAGCACAGCATCACTTTTCTCTCTCTCCCCCAAAAAAGAAAAAATCGAAATTCGGATAAAAAACCAGCTCATTCCTACACTCATACCTTTCTTGGCGTTACACTTGATTCTCAACTAACTTGGAAGTCACACGTAGAAGCAGTAAAGGGGAAAGCATTCAAGAAGCTTGCAGTGATGAAACTCTCTCTCTCTACCAGCAAGTGACATCTGCACTAACTTCAGAGCTGAGGCAACTGCCCTCCTTTCTGCAGTCCAACATCTCATCACTCAAGAACACAGAGGGCACACAATTGTTATACTTAGTGACTCATTGTCTGTTCTCCAAGCACTTTCAAGCAAAAAACAAGACAAACTAATTGCAGATCTAAGGACCAACACTGGCTTACTCTCCAAGGAAGCAGAACTGGTCT